TATGTCCACCTCATTAAAAATAAAGAAAAAAAAGCCCCTTACCCATTTGGAATATACATTATATTAATCTTTCAAAAGCAGAATATGTTTGTCTGGTTTTGCTTCAGAAAAGCCTACCGACTAACTTGACTGTAAAAATAATTGACTCAAAAATGTCAGTTACAGGATCAGAAATAATTACTGTAAATCAAAAGATTTTTTTTTTTTTAATGTAACGGTTATTTTTCTTCTAAAACACTTTCATCCACTATTTTGCTAATTTCTAAGATAACGTGGTTTTGGTAAATGTGATTTTGGAGAATGTCATTTTTATTAACTCCCATCTTCTAAGTTTTCTGAATGCCCAGCAATTCCTATTAACACAATACAGTGAAAAAATAGAAAAGGAAAAAAAAAAAGAAAAAAAACTAGATTATTAACAGGAATAATAATTGGATGAGGCTTAAGTATTACAAAGAACACTGCATTATGTCATACCATACATTTTAATTTCTTAGAGACAAAGTTTACATTCTTCAATGGTCTCCTTTTTTATTCAAGATCTGTAATTACATTCACTGAGGTAGTTTAGTACTAGGCACAGCAGGTCTTTCAGAATTAGGGACTTCCAGCTGTAATTATCACTACAATTAGAGGAGATTTTTTTAAGTGAGGAAAAGGAACAAAACTCTCCTTATGCCTTACATAGGATACATGGGTTGGGTTTGATTTAACCATAAACTAAAACAAACCTCAAACATATCTTTCAAATCTAATTCATTATGAATAATGGTTAAACTAGCACTATGTCACAGGACAACTTACAGTTTTCTGCTGCTGATGTGTAAGAAATTTTGGCATAAAACTGAACTTGTAAGTGCAACCTCAAAGTTTAAATATTTTGAGGGCCAAATTCTCTTCTCTGATATGTTATTCTAAATCTGAAGTAGATATGCTCAGGAGGCTAATTTGAACATACTCGTAAACTCAGAGCAATATTTATCTTCATTCCTTCATGCTTGAAAAATGACTACTCAAAATGTTTTAAAATGTCTTGTTGGTCTCCCAGGACAAAAGGGAAATTTCAGCCCCTTAACGCTTGTAGGTTCAGACAGCTCCTTTCTCCACTGTGGTGGGCAACATGTAAGAAAAGAATAGTCACAGCAGATATTTTTATTTCTCAAGATTATTTAAATCTAATTACATGGAAGCTATTCTGGTTTTGAGGAAAATGTTTGGATAAATGTAACAAAGAAAATCAAAGAAGAATGACAAACTATTCTAGTTCCCCTGACGTGACATCCAAAAATAACCTGAAGCTGAATCTTCTCTCTGTGAAAATACATGTTTTCTTCATAAAAAAAAGCTGACCACAGTTATGCATCAGAAGCAGGGGATAGTTATAAAAAAGATTACCCATTGAAGAGCTTTCATCACTAAGATTAAAAAACTTTAAGACACTTCTTAGTGAAAAATATAAAATCAAACTCAAGCATGGAAATCAGGCAAGTAAGGGATGTTATGACAGGAATTTTAATCCTACTGGATATAATAACTCTAAGGAACAACTTGTATTTTTAGTCACATCCTACCAGGAATCCTAGAAAATATGAAGATTGGTTAGTTGGAATTTCTTCTAAAGATACTGTTCAGAGTAAGTGCTCATTCTCATTAATCAGGTCACCAAGAAAAACAGGGACAGGTCTATGTGAGATAAGACTTTTGAACATGTAGGGATAAAAGAGATAAGAAGTTAAGACAGCTAAAGTGTTGGTGAAACTGGCATTTCTATTGCCTATGTAAGTGTCATGGGTCATACAAGAACCATGACACAAATTTTCTAATGGTTAAGAAGCACATGACATGGAATATAACCCTGGTTATTAAGGGGCAAGAAAGACCCAATGAGTCCTTTGCAGGCAGGTCACAGCATCACACTGTCCCACACAGCTGAGCAGGTTTGAGTGTCCAATCCATTTAAGGCTTGACCCTTTGCTCTGTGACAAAATCACACGAAGTAGAGCACAACTCTTATTCCCATGGCATACCTCTGGCCCAGGAGCTGTCCATGAGCCACTTTCAAGCCACATCCAGACAGGGTACTACAGAACAAAACCACTCTTGCTTTCATATCCCCTTTATGCATCTGAACTGAGCAGTACATGTACAATGTCTGAGAAGTAAGTGTTTCACTCTTCTTTTTCCTGCCTCATCAAAGACGCCCTGAGGGTGCTGTGCTTTTCCATTATGGCCTGAGCTAAATGAGCAGGACCCCACCAATCTAAGGAGGAGGTCCCATCCTCTCTCAAACCTCACCCCTGAATGTGTGCTGCAGCCACTTGCCCTGTGCTGCCCCTAGAATTCACCCAGTGGTACTCCAGGTCAGATGTCTCACTATACAAATAATAACCAAGCCCCTAAATGAAATAAAAGAAAGGTGAGTGTGGAGGTGCAGCTCAGTGAGTGGCTAGACTAAAGCTGGAGAGGGTCCTGAGAGTGAGGGAATGAGAGAACAGAAGAGGAAGCACATTTAATTCTTCCTGCTATTCAGCTCATTGATAATACAGAATAGGACCCTCAGGAAAAAAAAAAAAGGAAAAGAGAAAACACACAGAAATTATTTGTCTTGGATTCTCTGTTCTGTATACAGCACTATTCCCGATGCTTTTTGTTTCAAACAAAAGAAGTAATTAGCTGCTCAATTGTCTCTTAAATCAGACACTTGGGTTTGATTTTCAGCAGCTACAGACAATCAAAATACATAACTCCAGTTGGCTGAGTACTCAACTGAATGCAACAACTTTCCTGTCTGAGGCTAAGAGAAGCCATTCTGTTTGATCAGGTGCTACCAGCTGGAGTAAAAAGCTGCCATTAATGTGTTTGTGACAGGAGTTATAAAAAAGTTAATTACTTGTGAGAAAAGCTTCGTCACAGTCCTCTATCCCGAAAAACAAGTACATACCATCATGAGAGGTACTAATTTTTATCCTTGGTATTGGTAACAAAAAAATGAGATGAATATTAAAATGGGACTATTATTTAAACTGTAGAATGCTCTTTTTAGGCTGGAGAGACAGCTGCCTTTGTGGCTGCCCCTAGGACGCTGTACCTATGTCAGGGACAAATGGAGAATTTCTCTAAGGATCTTCATCTGTTCCTTTTGTGTACAACATAGTTACTAAAAGTAACAACTAACACTATCTTACTGTGTATAATACTGATGGGTTTAAGAAAATTCCCCTTCAAAGTTACATAAATATTATGAAATATTTCTACTTTCTATAGTTAAATATAATTATTTCATTAAGAGAAAACATCTCAAATGGGAGAGACTGCTGTCCAAAACAATTTTTTTTTTCCTCAAACCACCTAATAATAGTAATTCTTGCAATAATTATTGCAAAGTAGAAACCTGAGATTAATTCTCAGGCTTATACTACTCTATCTTTCATTCTCTTGAAAAGAAGAATGTAAGACTTCATGTACTCTTCCTTGAAAAAACATTTTACTTTTTTTCTTGGGCTGTGGTCTTGTCCACAGCACATAAAGAATTCAAGCCACAGCAAATAAACAGTTCTGACCAGTCATGCTGATAACCTGCAGCATCTTCTCCAGTCAGCACACAAATCTGTGGCAGTCTGGTTTGGGCTGGCTTTCCATAACTACCAGAGACTTTATGGTCTGAAAAAGCAAGAATATCTGGAAGCTCACTGGGACATTCAACCCCTTACAGAAGTACGGTTCAATACCTGGAGCAGATCAGGCTAAGAAGCTTCCCTGGCCAGAGCATTGTTTACTTTTTGATGGATAAATTTTATCCTAGTTTCCTCAGAACGAGAAGCAATCTCCCTGCGCAAGTGCCACCCTACCAATCAATTATTCACCTATTAACTTCTCCATTTGTCACCCAACTTCAAGTTTTTCAAAAATGGACCTTCATTTCATTTAAAACAGGCTACTGAACAGAAAAGAATAAGTCTACCAGTGAGACTTGAGGAGGGCTGCATCTCAGCTTCACCCATATACCAGCCACCAGCCACAAGGGCGCTCTCCAGGGACACAAATCCCTAAGAAACCAAACTTCCTTGGGTTTCCTCAGTTAGGTTTTTCTCCAGCAAGGTCTGTGGCAGACGACAAGAGAAAAATATTAGTGGGCCACAGGCAGGGCCAGTCAATAGATTCTCCTGTTTTGCAGCACTGCACCATCCTAACTCACACAGACCCCTCAGGCAGCTCCACTCCAGGAGGAAATGCTTTTGCATGGCTCTGCACGAAGCCTAGAAGTGTTAGTCTCCTGGCCAAGGACACTGTGACTATCACCAGGCAGCTGTGCTTGGTCCTGAACTGCCCCTGCTGTCCCTGCCAGGCCTGGCCCGTGTCAGTGCCGCAGGGCTCCCTGACCCAGTCTGAGCGTCCTCTGAAAGGTGAAATCAGCCCCACGCCCATCTCGGTCTGGACCTTCCGCACCTGCCCTGAGAAACTAGAGAAGTGCATCACACGGGAAGCAGCAAAGTTGGAGAGGAAGTTTACAGGAGTATGTCTAGAGAGCTGTCGCTCAGATTGGTCATTTATTCTCTTTGTGCAGATCAGAGCAGCCGTCCTAAGACTGGGGAGAAATGGGGCTCCCCCAGTGCTGCGCTGCGGTACAGGGAAGTTGGAAGGCTGGCTCTGAGGGGCTGTGGATCAATGGTGGTCGCAGCTGACCTCCCGGCCGAAGGTGCCGAAGCCCCAGTGACCCTCTCCTCCCTTCTGTCTCGGATACCCCCACAGCTCCAGCCGGGGAGCGGGGCTGGGCTGTGCTGCCCTCAGCGGGGCTCGAACTCAGCAAAGGCAGAGCCCCCGCCGTGGCAGCCCCGGGGCGATGGGAGAGCATCCCCCGACCCCGCTTTCCGCTCGCTCCCGCAGCGGGATGCACCGGCAAAGGAGCCGTCGGGCTCGGCCGCCGGAGGGAGCGGCGGGGACGGGATGCGGAGGGGCTGCACCCCCGGGCTCCCTGCGCGGGGCAGCGCGGCGTCTCTTACCTCCGTGCCGGGCGGCGGCGAAGAGCCGGGGGGGCGGCGGGGCGGCGGCGGCGGCGCGGGGCTCTGTCGGAGGGGCACCGCCGCCGCTGTAGCGCCGGGAGATCACCCGGTCCCTGCGCGGCGGGCGGGGCGGCAGCGGGCGGCCGTCGTCGCCCAGGGCTTGCAGGAGGATGTCGAGGAGCGCCCCCCGCTCGGCTCCGGCGGCGGGCACGTCCCTGCCCTCGGCGCCCGGCGGCGGCGGGGCCGAGGCCAGCAGCAGGAGCACGATGGCGGGCAGCGCCTGGCGCTTCTTCGCCCCTCGCATCTCTGCGGCGCTGGGAGGAGGCAGAGAGGGAAGGCGGTCAGCGCCGGGCCCGGCCCGCACCCCGGCCGCCCGCCCCC